TTTGCTACTACATAAAATAGCAAAGCAGTAATAGGAGGGGAAAGGGGGCTGAAGGGAAAGGGAAAAAAACCAAAAACAGTAATAGAAAACAGTGATTCTCCTAGATAATAAGCTTTAAGGGAGAGTTATATGATTTTAAAAAATATTTAGTTTTCATAAATTTAGACGTAAATGGGATGTGTTGGTTTGCTGTAGCTTCCAAAGCAAAGTTGCAGAGACGGGGAGGCTTAAACAGGAGAAGTGTTTCCTTGTACGTCTAGAGACTGGCAATCTGAGAGCAGAGTGTTAACAGGGCTCCTCTCCTCTGAGGCTCTCTGGTATCTGCGGATTGCTCTTGGTTTGGCTTCTCCTCCTATCTTCACGCAGTTTTCCCCTGTACCTGTAACCTGCCTTTCTCTTCTTCTAAGCTTAGCAGCCGTATTGGATTAGGGCCGACTTACATGAATTCATTTTACCTTGATTACCTTTTTAAGGCCCCGTCTCCAAATATAGCCGCAGTCTCTTGGGGATAAGGACTTGAAGACATAAATTCTGAGGACACATAATTCAGCCCATGACATGGGATCTTATAACATTATTTTAAATCTTATTTTTCTATTTAGTTGGTATAGGGTCTTGTACATAGCTCAGACTCTAGGGATCCTCCTGTCTCAGCCTCCCCAGTGCTGGGATTACAGGCGTGCGCCACGAGGCCCACTTTCAGCAGCGGGCACAGCGGGCCGCACAGCATGCGCTGCCAGGCTTCGAACCCAGGTCCTTGTGCTTGCCAGGCAGGCGCTTAGACCGCTGAGCTATCACGATCCTATTTCAGTGGTTAAACTATTTTGTATGAAGCAGAAAACTCCCATTACAGTTTCTCCTTAGAGAATCTAAAATAAAAACCCAGTGTTCTCATGGAGCTCCTTCCAGGAGTGGCTCTCCAGTCAGACGTTCGTGGGCTTCGGGCTCTCCGGCTCTCCGCGAGTTGGAATTCCAGTTTCTTTTTGTCTCAAACAAAGAATTGAATGAACTGAGCAAAAAGTAGCAGCAAACTTCATGTTAAAAAAAAAAAAAAGAAACAAAACTGAAAGCGAAGAGTGAGGCTCAGGCTGGCTCTGCAGAGCAAGCTGAGGCCGGGAGAGCGGGAG